ATAATCAATTACTGTTATGATTTTGATAGATTGGCTTCAGTAAATAGTTTTCACTATAGCACAGCTGTGGCTATCTCTGGTTCAGGCCTGCCTGCTATCAACTAAACCAACATGTTGATAATGTGGTAAATTAAAGTTACAGATCAAAATCAAAGTTTTTATTGGCATATTTACAATATTCAAATGTCATTTTTTTCCAAACCTATAGGGATTAAAGTTACAGTGTTGTCCTGTGAGGAGCAAGGAGTTGGGCTCGATGATCCTTATGAGTACTTTCCAACTTGATATATTCCATGATCCTATGAAATTGCCATTTGTTATAAAACTGTAAAACATACTTAAGTGGGGAAAAATTAAAATGTGAGGTTTTATACTTGAAACTTTTCTGTACGTTAGGAAAGACTTTACCTTCTATTTGGGCACCAGTTTTTAATGTTTAGATTAACAAACAGCTGCTACATATATGCTAGATCAGCCTCCAAAAAGCTTAATTAACCTACTGTTACCAGCATGTAATAATACAGCATCGTATTAATTCTCAAAAATTGAAAGATCCCAAGTACTGAAATACACAATGGGTGAAGATGTGTTTTACTGCTATCAACAAGGGATGGGTGAATTTAGTAAAGTAGAATGAGCTAAATCTTAAGGTGTTATGGCTACCAGAAGTAGCATAAACCCACTAGGTCAGAGTTGAAACATGCTTTTATAATAAACACTTTTTTGGTCAGGCTAGAGATCAGAATACTGTATCCTTAAAACATATCTTTTGAAGGATTAATTTTGCATATTCCTACAAAACTGCCCTTTTTTGTAATTCTTCCTTTTTAAAGCCTTATTTATACAGTGTGTAGCCTAGAAACTCTTTTGGGAAATCTTAGTATATCTTTCAGGTTTATAAAGATGTGTGGAATATCATACCATAGACATCCCGAAGAATAGACCTATAAAAGTTTGCAGAGTGATACCTAAAACTGTTCTATCAGCATCTGAGTTTCAGTTGAAAATGTTTTGCTCTGACTTACTGTAATACGTGACAATAATTAGCTTTGGTCTAAAGAGCACTTTCTGCTTAAAGTTCGAAGGTAAGGCTTGTTGTCTTACTATGTTAACAGTAGTTAATCCTTTTTAATAATCTTAAACTATTTTTCCAGGAATTTGAGGCATATTAAAATAGCCTTTGTAATCTTAAACACTAAAGTGGTTTGCAGCATGTTATGACTTCAAACTGAAGCAGAAATGTCATATCTTGTGTTCATTTTTTCACTTTTGCCTTGTTAAAAATGTTAAATACTGTAATAATATTGGAAGATATTCTACTATTGAATTTTTAGTAGCTTTTGACAAAGTCAGAACTGAATTGTCTTTGAAAATATCTGGGTTTTATTTTGCTCTTGTTATGTACCAGCCTTTACAAAACAGAACAGATGAAGTAACAGATGAGTACTAAGAACTGGACTGAAGCAAAATCAGTTGCTATATTTCAGTTTGCTTTTATTTTTGGGGGGATTTAAGGGATACCTATTTCAAAAGCAGAAAGATATATATACACACATAATTGAAATTGTTCCAAGTTTTTCTTTAAGAATCTTGTATTTGATTTTTTAATGTAAAAAGATATTTTAGTGGAGTGTAAGAGAAACCAGTATTATGTTACAATAGACAATTAAACCATTTTGAATGCTTCTAATGGAGGATGAGGTTTATTGCAAAAGATGTGACAAATCTCATCCATTTGTTCATCTTTCAAAATAGTTCTTTTTTTTGTAAAATGTCTAATGCGATTTGATCTCTGCTTTCTATTGTGTTGCAAGAAATAGGATATTGAGTTGGGCAATTTAGCACCTTTTCTCCTCTGACAGTGGCAAAAGGGATGCCATTTGGGAAGAGCTGTGAATATGAACACTTCTGCTCAGTTATTCTCCTCATTCATAGTTGTACTGGGGCTTTGAGGTACACGCATCTGCCCCTTTAAGAAGTGTTTATAGATTTGTTGTCCATGAATTTGACCATATCCTTTTTGAATAAGCTGACATCTGCCTCTCTAACTTCATCTGGTAACTCGTTCTGGAAGCTTGCCGCTTGCTCTGTAAACCAGTCTTCTACCAGCTTCATGAAGTGCCCCCAGTTGCAGTTTCAGTTTGCTGACAGCTCTGCATTGCCTTTTTCTGCTGCCTTCACTTTTTTTTTCCCTGAACTGCCACTATACCCTAGTAGCTATTGTGCTGCTTTCAGAGCATGTTTAACATTTGTGCTTTGTCCAGTGGCTTAAGAGGGCAAATGTTCCTGTTTTTGTTATTACACTGACAAAGAGAGTTTGTATTTTTTTTTTTTTGGGGGGGGGGGGGGTGTTGGTGTTTAAGAAAAGAACATAAAGTGTTGATAGCTTTTACTTTGGGGAAGTAGACAATATAGTGGAATCATTTTATCTGTATGCATTTTTCATTAAACTGGCTTCCAGGCAGTGTTGTACATCTGAAAATTAAAATCCTCTTGACCTGAACTTTATTTCCTTCTCATTCTATTCAATGCAGGCAGGAATCTTTCTGCCTAGCTGAGGGGCCATTTTCCTAACTTATTAACGCTGCGTTTATTAAATGGTGTCCTCCTTAGGTAGTCATGACCCTCTTATCTTACATTCAGTGAAGCTGGTTTAGAAACTTGGGTCTTGTGAGCCTGTAGCTTTTCTGAAGTATAAATGCACATGAGGGTGGAAAGCAGCCTTATGTCTAAACTAAAAGTTCTCTTTAAAGTATAAAGTTACTTCAGGTAACAGTTACATCTTTTATACTCTAAATGCTGATACATTGGTGGAGAGTTTTATAAGTTCTTTAAACTATGATTCAACATGACTACTGTTAGGTCAGTTACTGCATACTGCCATTTTTTTCCTCAAGCCTAAGTTCCTTCAGGTTTTCCGAGCTTAACATCAAAGAACAGCTTTGAAGCTTTCTTGATCTCCATGTAGACTCTAATCTGAGAGTGCTATCTAAGCAGTAGAAATAATCAACACCTGCAAAAGAAGCCTTTCTTCTCCCAGGACAACTAAGATAATAACTGTAAAATACTTGTTAAATCTTTCAGATTTTTTAGGGGAAAAATAAATGTTTTACAAGCAATGGGCTTCAGCCGAAGTGTGTGTTTGCAATGACAAACCAGTTGTTTCTTGGGAACAGACCAATTCAGCTCACCTTCATACCCAGCAAAACAGTGGTACTGCAGCATACTACATACTGTTTAGGCCAAGGATGTTACATAGTGAGAGGAGAGAGTTAAATGTTACAATTGCTCCTGTCACTGGAGTGAATTTATTACTTATGCAACCTGAAAGGTAGTAGTGAAAGTGAGCTGCCCGGAAGAAATTATTGCAATTATAAGTATCCCCCTCAGAATTCTTTACTGGAGTTCTCAAGACAATTTTATTTTTCCAGACTCTTTCCTTGATAGTAGAAGCCTGCCTCCCTACTGCACAGCTGACTGCCACCAAACAAAACAGTCTGTTCAGCTTGTGTCTTGCACTGAGGATCTCTGGGGGCTGCAAGGAAGACGAAGGGCTACAACAGGATCGGTTTGGCCAGTGGACCACAGGATGAGCACTGCTACCTTAGAAAACACTGTAAAGCCATTTTGTTAGAATGGCAGATTGAATATTTCCATCTTTGAAATCTCTGCTCTCTTTACTTGTAAATGCTACTTTTCACAACACTGAATATTGTCAGCAAGTCATACTAATGTCAGATGCAGTTTATTAGATTGTTAAACAGTTACAATGGGACATTTAATGGGCTGAGTGTTGTCTTGGGAACAGACATGGTATGAAGTATGGAATTTTAGTGGGGTTTTGTGTAGAATCTTTTATCAGTAAAGAAGCTCTTGAAATTCTAGGTGTACTATGGTCTTAAACTATTGGGTGTCCTTTACTATTAATCTGTGCACTTTCTTCCTTGTAATGTAAGTGAGAAGAAATTTATGCTTATTCAACAGAGTTTATATGTAACTCTAAAGACAAAGCTCTGTAATGCTCTTGCCACCCACAGTGGTTTTCATGACACGTGATTGAGCAAATGCACGTATTTTAAAGTGAGACTTGCATATCTTCTCAAGAGGAGGTGTTCTGAAATCTTACTTATTTTCAGAAAACATCTCTCAATCTCTGTAGTCAGTCCTGTGTTCTCTAATAACTTTTATCCCTTTAACTACCCTGTTTACAATTTAGTCTGGTTTTTCACTTCTATGTATATGACTACACAGTGCTTAAAACAAACATGACTAGTTAATCACTCCTTGCTTCTCTTTTGCTTTCATAATTCTGGCACTGAGGCTGTGTTTGTCCTTACTATTCTGCAGTTTGTCTAGTTGGTGCATTTCTGTTATCCTCTATCCTCCTGTTCTGTTTTGTTACCTTTTAGGTGTAGGTGTAGCTTATTCAAAACAAACTTCATCAGTTTTGGACTTGGAATGATTTGGGCTTTTTTTTCTCTGTAGCAATAGGGATTTTTTCAAAGTGGGAGAGATAAGCATAATCCTAGATGGATGTAGTCTTTTACGATATAGAAAGAAAATAGTATGATTTGTTAGTAAGCTTTTCCAGAGGTGACCTGTTTAATGTAGCGTATGAAAAAGCTTGCTGCACCATAGATTTCATAAAGTACGTTATACTGAATTCTTGCATTCATATGAGTAGTTGCTGGAAACAAACAAAATCCTTCTGTTTCTATCCAAGATTAATTGATAATTTATTGATCTTGCAACTTGCTGTGTGACAAAGCTTATGTGACTTTTTTTCTAGTTCTGAAGTAAATTTTTAAAATTAGATTAGCTGTGTGCCAAGTAGTTCTCTATATAAATCTTGCCTGTTTGGTTTCTAAATGAAAACAATGCACTGCACTATAAAGTCGTATGTAATCAATATAATTATCCAAGGTAAGTAACTTTTGTGACACATTTAATATTAATACAGCCTGGCTCTGAGTTGACAATCCTTCTCAATGTCTTTACAGGGTGCTGATAAGACTGTGAAAGGCCCAGATGGACTAACTGCCTTTGAAGCCACTGACAACCAGGCAATCAAAACTCTTCTTCAGTGACGGATGGACTGATGTCTTAAATGTCTCTCCTGTGGCCTCACACTGCTGCCTGTCTGTCACTCTTTGCATCTTCCAGCTTCTTCAGCTAAATACTTTGGGGGGAGGGAAATTCTTTGATTCAGACTAGTTAGGGGCTCGTATCAAAGATAATCTGTTTGGAGAGGGTTGAAAACTGTTATGAACAGTGTCCCTCTAGGACTTCTTTTCAGTGCACAATCTCTTCCCATTTCTAGTGAAAACAGAAGAAGGAAGACAGACCATGATCTTGAATTTTTGGCTTGTAAACTTCCTAGGTTAGTACTAAGATTTTTGTTGAAAGCATCTTTTAGATGGAAATATTGTGCTATGTACCTGAAACTAATTGTGAAGGAGACAATAGGCCCATGCTATTAGTGTCTGCCATAATCTGAAGTGTAGTAATGTAGGTGGCTGGGTTGCTTTTCTCTCTTCTCTCTGAGTGAGTAGCTTTATTCTTCTTCTGCCTAAAGCTTACGTTGCAGTTTTGAGGACTTTTGATACTAGTTATTGGAGCTGTTCTTTATATTGACTAATTGGATGTCACACTAATGTTTTTCTGACTCTTGAGTAAACCAGGAAAGATCGGTTGAGGCATAGTGGTGTTACACTCCAGAGTATCTGCAAAGGTACTTTTGGATGCTTGAATTTGAGGTTTTTCTTTTCCATGTTTGTTCTAGTCCAGAACAGATGTTTTAAGCAATTGTTTTTGGGAAAGTTCAAAAATGTCACTGTAGTTATTTCCAAAAGGATTGTGAGATGAAATTTCTTTACTCACCATGTCAGTATAAAATTTATAGACACTTGAAAAAGCTAAAGGCTGTTTGGTACAGAAAGATAATCAAGTCAAATGTGGAAAATGAACAGTAATTATTTAGACATTCCTATTGGGTGAATATTGTTGGTAAACTTTTCTGGTAAACTTGTAAAATACACGTAAGCTTTCTAAGTTCAGGTGTTAGGAACAGAAAATGTACAAGTAGAAGTCTTAACTTGCTCTAACTACTGGAGGAAAAAAACAACTTCTAATTGTGCATATCATGCTTATCTTTGAATTGGTGTTTTGTTGTTGGCTGAATGAACCTCTTAAATTTCATTAAGGCATGGGGCTTGTTCTGAAAGTTACCAGTGCAACCACACCACATTAACCATTGACTCTTAGATACCAGGAGGTATGACAGTACTATGACAGCCTTGATAATTCATGGGAAGGTATTTAATAATGATGTAGGGATTCTTGTCACATCTTATGGTCCTCAGAAATGTCTGAGCTTCTGTCTTTCATCTTGAAAAATTTCAGTAAACTGCTGATTTGCCCAAAACTGAATGACAGGTTTTATAACAGAAAAGTGTGTACCATAAACTATACATCTTCCTCTTTTTTGGAATACAGTTTTCAAACTTTCTGATAAGATACACAGTACAGAAAAGAAATGTATATAATGTCTCATGCTGAATTCTTAAACAAAAGTAGCCGATATTATTTTGGTATCACTGCTGAAATTGAGAGGATATGTAGAAGTAGACTTGTGACTACCACTCTTATTTAATGGAGACTTAGTTTTACTTGAATCATGTTGCATATTACAATTGAATGTCTCAGCTATAAAAAGCCTTGCATTTAGACTGTAAAAAGAGAGCAGATACTGATTTACATGTAGACATCCCATAATAAAAGCAATGGAGAAAACAATCAACTCTGGCCATAAACTGTGCAGTGCAATTACTCTTTGCTTCTTGGAGACGGGTGGCAAGGAAGAGCAGAAGGGTTGGAAATCAGTTAGTGAGCTGCTGATAAAAGAACAAGCATGTCTGGTGAACAGTGCTTTTTGTGACTATTTAAAGAGCACTCTTTAATCTTATCTCTGATCAGCGTTGGATTGTCATGTCATTGTGATAGTGTGAACACAGACTATAGGTTTAACTATTCAGCTATGAAAGTAACCATCTTTGGCATAAATTTGCCTCCATATTATGCTACTAAATACTTAGCTGTTAAAATACTACTCTAGAAAACTGCGATCTGTTTTTATGTGGAAAACTTGATTATTCAAGTTTTTTGCGGTGATTAGCCTCAAGTTGTCTGGCCATAGTGTTACTGGATGTTTTTCTCTTTTTTCTCTGTATTCTTTCCTGCCCTTCCTTTCAACTCTCATTTAAGTGAGCATTATCATAGTAAAGAAACATCATCTTTGTACTAACTCCTGTGGTGATTTGCTGAGGCAATTTTGCCTCCCTTTTTCTACAATTATGTGGACACCTTATTTTTTTCTTACTTCACTTGAGGGGGGGGAAAATGCAAACTTCAGTGAGACTAGTGTAAATTTGGCTGTAATATATACCCAAGCTGCCTTTTGAGATAGGTAAAAGATGTGATTTAACGTTTGGCTCAAAGAAATACTTTTTTTTGCTTTTTGCACTACGTAAGAGGTGATTGATCATTTTGCCCAGTATTAAAAAAAAAAAAAAGTGGTAATAAAAACTTAAGCTTTTGTAATTGTCTAGGAACTGGGCTTGTTCATTTGTTCCCTTCTTGTGAGCTCTATTGTGAAAAAAATAATGGGTGGCTGTCTGTATCTTTTGAGTAGGTCCTAACTAGATAAAAACACCAAACTGTAAATTAATTTACATTCTATAAACAGAATTTAAATACTTTGTCAGACTGGCATTCCACTCTGTTCTTAAACCTTTTCCTTTGAAATCTGTGTTGAATAAGTTATAACCTTAAGTGTACCCTCTGCTCCTTTTTCTTAAGGGGGAGCAAGTGGGAGGAGGAGTACAATGGAACTTTATCCTTGAACATAACATTGAATTATTTGTAGAAGAGGCTGGTAAGAATGGAGTGTCCTAGGTCAAGCAATTGCAATGTTGCATGCAAAATTTCAAAATTAACTTGTCTTAATTATATTTTGTAAATGGATAAACAATCATCTTTCTACGCAGTGATGGAAGAAAATTAGTGCTCTGTGCATTTTGATATTTGACTTCCTCTTTTCACAATTGTTAACTGTTTTGACACAGTTGGGTTCATCATTATCATGCCTCATAGACATCAGAATGCTAAATGATACTGTATTTTTAAGTTTGTGTTGCAAGAATGAATGGAATAAACTTGAATTGTGCGATATGAGAATGTGGAGGTTTATTTCCCTTTCTGCTCCTGTGTCTTATTAATCTCTAGCTACAACTTTTTATTTGCCTGGAAGGCATCTAAGCTCCAGTTCAAATGTACAGTGATTGAAATATTTAGGTACTTATAAGACTTAAATGTGGAATGGAATCTGCTTTGAGAACTAAATATATTAAGTTGGGGGTTTTTAATTACATCATTTAAAAGAGGTTTTGATTAATTCTCTGGTCTTGTAGTCTGCATTTCCTGCTCAAATGGTAATACATAATGTTGAAGATCTCTTATTCATGTTAAATTCTAAGAGACAGTTTGTAGAACACTTTTAAAGAAAAAGTACAGCAAGGTGTTGTGGCAAAGTGGGAAAACTATTAATATGGAAAAATATTTCAAAAGAAACTAAATTTGTCTGGTTTTCTGAGCTAAACTTTGAAAGCATGGACTTCTAATGCTGTATGCACAACCTTTTAGTCAAATATTGGAAAAAAAGATGGATATGTTCATCATTAATACCAAAGCAGTTCAAACAGTGTGATCACTAGTGCAAATTGATGTGTGTGCTTCAGTTCCTGTGTTCATCTTACAGGGCTTTTGTTTTGTTTTGTTTTTTTTAATGGACAGCTTTTCTGTAGGAGTAAATACTAGCTGAGGTTCAGAACACAGACGTTTCACTCACATTCCTCAGTGCCTGGCTAACCGAATTCATCTATACATGTAAACACTTTTCCTAATATTTTTTTATGGCTGATATTTTGGAACAAATGGATTTCTCAGCTCCGTTCCAAAAGGAAGTTGGCCCAAGAAAGCATTTTTTTTTCCAATTGGATCACTTGATTGTTTCTTTGAGAAAAGTATATTGTCAAAGCTCTCCTCAAAATACTTTTGTTCTACTTATCTGACATCTTGGAACAGCTTTCACTAAGATATGCCATAAACTTACTAGGTGTGTTGTTCAGCAAGCGCTTTGTTTCATGCAGTGCCTTGAAAGGCTTCAAAAGCATATTGAGTTTGCCTGCTCAGGAAGTGAATGAGCATTTTTCCTAGGAGCAGTGCTCCTCTCTCCCTGCTTTAGCAGTCAAAGCAATGTTTCTAGTAATTTTAAATTAAGAAAAGTTGCATTTAGATACCATTGCTTGCTATTGTGATCTAATGTTAATTTGGAGAGCCTTCCTTCAAACAGAAGTCCTGGAATCTCTTGATTCTTCACTCTTCAAATTGCATTTGGAAAGCACCTGTGTGTACATCTCCATTCTCCTGTATCCTGAATGTGTCTCTTTTCAGGAATACTTCAGACCGCTACAAAATACAGGATTTGTTTGTACTTTTCAGTGAGTTCCTGTTTTCCACAAATGTATCTTCATTTTGCAGTACTTCAAAATTGTGAATAGAACCCTTCCTTTTCATGCACTGAAGTTCATCTCATGGCCATTAAAGCTGAGAGGCAAGACTGTGTGCTGAAACTGCAGTAGCCTATGTCTCAATTGGTTTATCAAACTTACAATTAATTAAAGGAAAGTTTCTTTTAGTTGTCTCAAGCTGAGCATAAATTTGAAGGATCTAAAACTCAGTCTCAAAAATAACTTCTTGACCTACAAAAAACTCAAGTTTGGTCTATATATATAAAATTATTTACCTTGGAAATATTCCTTCATATGTGTTTCTTGTCACTTTCTTCTAACTGAAAGTAATTCCTCAGTATGTTCAGAAGAAACTTCAGTTTCTTCACCAAAGCTTTTGTTTCAAAGTGAAATAAACCATTTTCTAGTCTGAATCAACATGTAACTACTTTGCCTCAAAAGTGTTTGGAGGTGGGAAATCTTGAAAAGTGTGCAGCTTTCCATGGAAATGAAGTTATACTTTTTTTTAATACACCTTTTTTTTTTTTTTTTTCAACTTACCAGTGTAGCCAACAAACCAGATCAGAATTTGCATGTCCCTGTGTAATGAGTCAGCTTGGTTTCTTTTTAGAGTGGTGATACCCTTGGGAGAGCATCATGATGTCCTGGATTTTTGTAGTGTCTCCTAATCCACTAAGGTGCAGGGCAGATGTAGGTGTTTAATTAGGGCTAAGATAAACGCAGATTTCTGAATGGGGTTGTTATTGCCTAATTCAGTTTCTGCAGTGCAGAAGACCTGCCAGTATCTATCTCTTGGCATGCAGAGAGTGAGGATAGCTGCCATTGTTAAAGGCTGTTAAACAGTAATTTGTCATACTGGATGAGCTAAGGCCATCATAACATGGTAGCCCTCTAGAAAGAGCAAATAAATTGTAATGTTACCTTCTGAAAGTCTTTCCCAAAGTTTATTCTTGTTATTTGTCCATATTTTATTTTGGTGGCTTTTTTATGTGCTTTAGGAAGTGTCCTAAAACAAGAGTGCTTTTTGGTTTTCTTTCATTGTCCTCTTGCATAAAGCTGTAACTTTACCTTTTACAACAGAAATGTATCTTTTACATTACTTTTAAATGAAAAAATGTAGCCTCTGTGTGTGTGTGTGTGTTCATATATAATAGATAACAGTTGTGCTGAAGGATACTTCCCAACTACACTTTTGACAAATTGCTATGAAAACCTAGTCCTACCCCTGATACCAGTATGTGCATGTAGGCAAATCCTGAACAGTAGACATAAATAGGATATGGGAGGAAAT